CTACTATCGAAAGGCACATAAATAGATTGACACTATAGATAGTGGAATAGCTAAAACTGGCACTTATAGTATTTTTCCCACCTCCATGGGCTAATAAAAAATTGGTACCTTTAAACGGTTATATGTGTCAGTTCTATAAAAAACCAACATGATCTCTTTTTTTTTAAAAAAAAACTGACATCTTTATTTTATTATAGGTGCTAGTGAATTAAAAAGCCGACATCAATAATATATTATAGATACCAGTTTTTTTAGAAACCAGCGTACGAAAAATCGAGCCGAGCCGACCACTCGTCCTTATTCGCTCGAGCTGATAAGAAGAGCAGGACATGGTCCCTCTCCCCGGTGTCCCTTTCTTACACGCCTTTCTCTCTCAATCTTCCTCTTGCATACTTCTCTCTCTTCTCACGTGCGACTCCGCCCATCCAGCTGCGGAGGCGACCATCCCCACCTAGTGGCGACGCTATCTCCTCCACCGGATTCGACGGGAGGGGAGGCAGCGAGCTACCCAAGCGACGGTGGCTACGCACTCCCCTCCGCTACATACAGTGCCCCCTCTACCAGATCCGGTGGGAGGGAGGTGGCGACAGGCGTGGCACCCTCCGCTCCTCGACATCGGCCCATTCTTTGTGTTCTTAGTGTTTGGTCTTCTTGGATTAAATGTTCATTCTATGAATTAAATGTTCTATGGAATTTGGTTGGGTAAAGAGGTGCAGGTTCCTGAATCGGCACCTTTTAGCTCTCCTCAAAGATGCCGCTTGTTGGGTGCTGGTAGGGAATAAGTCACTACTACAACAAAGAAGAGGATAGGTGTTGGTTGGGAACCGGCTTTAGGTGACAGATTTCTCCACCGGCACCTATCCGTTGTTTTGAAGTAGTGACTTGTATTTTGAGCTTTAGAATATAATAAATTGTATATAGCGGGTTATTTTTCAGGAGATTTAAGATGCACTAGCTAGTGGGTAATGATGTGACATATTTATATCTTGAGTTTTAGAATATAGTAATTGTTACTAGTGAAAAGCATCAAAAGTTATAGGTAAGATTGTAGGCAACGAACATGGATTATTCTATCCGAATATTAACTCCACAAATTAATCTGATACAGCCCATCATCACTTGTCATTTGTGAACTATTACTTTATTATTATTATTACTATGTACTTAGGCCAACACGATAGTTATTACTACTATATACATCAAGTTACCAACTATATGAATTCGTATATCTGACATATGTTAATTTACAGGAGATCAAGTATAAAAGGTCCATCTATAATTAAACTACTATATAACTAAAACTTTGTACGAGAACACTTCAGAAATATTTTTATTTACAACATTAAAGCAGTTCCTAAGACGAGGGGAGGAGAGGGCTTAGCCTCCCTCCCATCTAGCTTAATATTTTAACCAAAATTAGCATTATCACCCCCTTAGCAAATAAATTTTGTGGCTAAAGTAAGAATTGGGCATCCGACCTTGCTAAAAATCAGGCAGTCCAAATATTTTATTACATTTTACCATCAGCAAATTCAAGTTATATGTTGTAAAAAAATTAGTCATTAAAACATTTGGGTGAAATGTTTTCCCTCCTTCCTAAATTGATTAGGTCACCCCTAACCCAGAATCTATCGAGTAGTTTTCATACTTGTCATGTCATATAGACACTATGTGTAGAAACTATACATCCAATGGATGGTGTTTTCAAATTAAATTACCATCCAATCATCTTTCTTCTCTCTCCTTTTATCCACCTATCCCATTATTTTTATTCTTGATTATTGTGTAGAGATGGTTTCTTGCATGAGAAATGGTTTCTTCATCTTTTTACCTCTTTGCTCATTAACTCTCTTGCCACATCATATTTTTGCTTATGTTACAATGTATTCAATGCTATGGACACTAGATGAGATGGAGGGTTGGGGATGGCCTTAGCACCCCTCCCATCTAGCTTAATATTTTAACCAAAATTAGCATTATCACCCCCTTAGCAAATAAATTTTGTGGCTAAACTAAGAATCGGGCATCCGACCATGCTAAAAATTAGGCGGTCCAAATATTTTATTACATTTTACCATGAGCAAATCCAAGTTATATGTTGTAAAAAAATTAGTCATTAGAACATTTAGGTGAAATGTATTCCCTCCTTCCTAAATTGATTAGCATATAATGGTATTCAAAATTTCTTAAATTGATCATCATATAACCGTATGGATACGGATTTTATCAGAATACAATTAATGCATTGTGCAAGAATATGTGCATGCTAAGATGTAATTTGTATGGTGTTTTAATCGATGCATGCATTCTGAGAGAATGTGTGTATGGTGTCTTGATTGATGTGATTTAAATTATCCTTGGTATTGATGCATAAACATATATGATGATCAATTTGGAAAGAAGGGAGTAAAACACAACAAAATACTAGTTGAAATTTTTTATTCTCATACATAACACATCAGATTTTAGAAGTTAAAATAGATATTTATTTTATCAAAATATAATTATCTAATATCTTATTATAAAGATTTAGTGATTTAATTACATGTATATATACAACGGCGTAACCAGTTTGCAAACCGAATAGAGTCTTTGCATTTTATCTTTATGTTTACTGTTACATGCATGTATTCCAGCCCATCAGCCATCAATCAGCTCACTCGAACGGGACCAAATACGATGTATTACAACTAGGGAGATCTAATTTCCTATACTGTTGAACTATACCCTACAGCTAAGTACAGTGGATGCGTGTGCACTCAATTAGTTGTACTCCAGTTCACAATTATGGTCTTAGTAGTGTGCACGCAAACCTCTCCCTCGACCAGTTCGGCACCTAAATAATTGAACCCCAACCACACCCGCGGTTGAATTTGTCTCATTTGGGCATAGTGATTATAACACCAATTCAAAACAAGTAGACAGACACTATACTTGTTTTAAATTTTGGTGAATGGAATTCTGCATATATGACTTTCATCGACCCAGCTCGCTTGTTCATCCTCTTAGCTCGATTAGGCCGAGGCTTTTCCTCCGCTCTTGAGACGCCGACGACCCCTTCCTGCTAGCGGCAATGGCGAATTGGCGACTCTTCTCCCCGCGGCAGCGACGGTGACCCCTCAGCGATGGCGACCCCTCCTCCCCGCAGCAGCGGCAGCACACTCGGCAGCAGCGATTAGACGACTGTGGTCAGAGCTTTAATTTCCTCCTCTCTCCCAATGCTTCTGACCCCCTCCCACCAGATCCAGAGGTGCAGCAAGCCACCAGTTTCCCCTTGGCCAGATCCATACGCAAAGGGAGTGGGACTGGGAGATGGCCGCCTCCTCAATCCCGGCAAAGGACAAGAGTCCATGATGCAGCAGTCATGACAACAGCGAGCAGCAGTCGCGTGCGAGCAAATTCGCGGCAATGACAAGCTCGTCGTGGTAGTGGCGATGTCTCGATCCATCGTCATTTTTGGCAGATCCCATCCATCCACCACCGCCACCTCGCAGGCACGCATCGCCGGCTCTACCGATCGAGATAGAAGATGAACAAGAGAGAGGATGAACACAAAAGAATAGGTTTGGGTAAGAACAGGACACAATTCTTGAGGGTAATGGCTTGCTTCTAATTTTATAATATTTTAGTGCCACGTAATGTATATCATAAATATATATAGTGCTACTTTTTTAATTGAGCAAATTTGCAATGGTATGAATCCAATTAACCCTTATTGTTATACACATAAAACGGTACTGCTATATTTTTAAATTTTTAGGCAATAGAAAAAAATTAAAATTATTTCTGTAGATCTCGTTGAGAATTTCATAGAAGAGTTTGTCTCTGCATGAAGGTATTTGAAAATATTTAAAATCCAATAATTCAAATAGATCTTGAAATGAATATTCGAACATGTAAATGACCTTAGATGAAAAGATTATCAAGTATAGAGTTGTAGATTTGGGTCGGTTCTACCATTCTTATCTAAAATTGTTTCCATTCGACTTTGAAAAATATGCACGTGTGAGTGGGTATGTATCATATTTGCCTGTTCTTAACTTTGGCTCCCCTATAGCTCAGGAAAGACGGAAAATGCGTCCGTTCTATGTACATGAACCAACATAGCTAGTGCATCACCTATTTGATATTTTCTAATTAACGTGCCTGAGGATTATCCTCATGGTATAATTTAAAACGATACCCAGAGGTTTTATTTTTACAAACATGAAAAGGATGGGGAGATAGCAAAATATATATCATTCCGTAAAGATAGACATAAATATAAATATAAATTGCGCATCTTAAATTTTTATATGTACTTGGACTTTGAAACAAAATGTTTTGTTGGGAGAGAATTGTCTTCGTTAATCACACAATATTTTGAAGGTTGATTCTATTTGGGGACAAATTAAGGCTTCCCTTGAACACAAGATTTTTGAAAACAGAGAAACGCAACAATACGTAGGAATAGATGCCATGCCCATTGATTCGCATGAAAGTCTCAAAAAATCAATGGAGGAAATTACTGGTGCAAAAAAAAAAAACCCAAGGAAATCAATACCCTATTCATTGTCCCAAGAAAACAATTTAGTTTCACAAATAAAATTTTGATAGGTTGGTTAATGTTAAAAGTTTGTTATATTTCTCTATATTATTTTCTTGAGATTATCCAACAGACGCATATGCACGCACCACTACAGACGTAATATCACAATCATACCCCTATGAATATGTCCGCTAACACACTCTCAGAGATGAAAACTAGTGATATATCTTGATCACAATAAATTAAATCATGTTAAAAGCCCACCTACATATGTATAATATTCGTTGGCTACAAGATTGAAATCATAATGGGACTCCATCATCACGCTACTCGTGCTTCCCCCGATAATTCTCCACTTCAATTTCAAAATAAAAAAAAGAAGAAGAAAGCCTCAAATACACAACTACTAATACTACTTTATTTAACGGTATCACAGTATGCACGTGTAACAGTGATGAGCCCGAAAACGAACCTGCGAGAGTGTCAAGAAGCGTCGTCTTCCCGCACCCCGACGGCCCCATGATCGCCAGAACCTCCCCCGGCCGCGCGTGCCCGGTGATCCCGTCGAGGATCCTCGCCGGCGGCGAGCCGCGAGTGCGGCCGGGCACCGTCACGCGCACGTCCTCCCACGTCAGGAACACCGCGGGGTCGTCGACGACGTCCGCTGCCGCCCGTGGAAGCGAAACTGCCTGCGCCGCCGGCAGCGGCACCTCGACGCCGTCGAACGTCCCCACTCCGCCGCCGGCCGACGGCGCCCATCTGTCATCGACACGTCGTCTCCTCGTCCACGGGAAGACGGCGGCGAAGAACGACGAGGTCCAACCGGTGACACCTCCGTCCGCCCGGGCGTCCGGCGTGGCGCCGCCGCCCCAGCCCCAGCGCCAGAGCGGCCGCGACGGACTTGGCGTCGGCGCCCACCGTGGCAGTGGCGACGTGGCCGCCATGATCGATAACGAGCTAGGCGTGCTTGCTTCTTTTGGTGCTACGACTCGAGCTGGGCGAAGCAGTTACTACGTTGTTTGGCTGGGCCGGGCGGGAATTAATAGCAGTGTTGATGTTGGGCAACTGCTGATCGACACGTGAAACGTCACGAAAAGAATCAAATGTTTTACGCCAAGTCGTGTTATGTGGGAATTATATTGATGTACAGTATAATCAACTGTGCAGCTACAGCCATGGAGGACGGGGAGACAGACATTCGGTACAAGGTACATAATGGAAATGGATGTAACATAGCTAGTGCCAGTTGGTTACTCTAGAAAACACTATCTACCTATACTTTAAATACAATTTTCTCTTAAACTACTCATCCGATCTACGATCTGATTGTACCGTTATGTTCGTAACAATTAAATCTTTATAACAAGATCTTACATGATTATATTTTGATAAAAAATATAAATTGCTTTTATAATATATCTAAATTACTTTTAGATTTCATTAAATTACTTCTTAGACATATAAAAGTAAATTCAATAAAGCGTAAAAGTAATTTACATATATTATAGAAGTAACTTATAACAAAAAGAAAGTAACTTTAATGAATGCCTTTTTTCATTGGACGTGAAGTCATATTTTTATTCCTACAACGAATTTACTTCTAATGTTGTGACAAAGTTACTTCCGTTTTGTTTTAATACTAGAAAAAAATGTCCGTGCGTTACAACGGGTGAAGGCTATTTTAACCATGTTGTTATACAATTTAGTTAAGATAAAATTCACTGTGAGAATTCGCTTGGATATATATTTTTTCTTTAGAAAATTATGAGTAACAATAAGGAGTCTGATCGTATTAAGTTAGCATGTGAGTTTTTTTTAAGAGATTTCTAATATGACTACTTCTCAAAAGCGAACGAACTTAAAAACTAACTCAAATATGAATATGTATTTCCAAAAGAACTTGAAAATCGACTCATACACGGATGACGTACCAAAATACCGACAAAAACATCTTCAATTTTTATAATAGTAGAGATGCAAATTACTTTTAGACTTTATTGAATTTACTTTTAAATGTCTAAGACGTAATTTAGTTAAATCTAAAAGTAACTTTTATATATATATATATATATGTATATATATATATGATAAAAGTAATTTACAAATATAAATATTTTTCGTTATAATATAATCATGTAAGATCTTGTTGTTGTGAAGATTTAATTGTAACGAACACATGGTGTAATCGGATTGTATATTGGATAAGTAATTTGAGAGAAAACTTTGTTTGAAGAGGAAAAAGGGCATGCATGCATGTAGTACGATGTAGTAGACTCCACGTTTTCTCCATATTTAGGCGTCGCTGGTTACGACAAAAACGAAAGGCCTCTCTAAATATATTTTACGAATGGAAATGGATTTGCTGGGGGCGCTTTTCTCGCAGATTATTTCTTCACCGTGAGATCCGCGCTAAAATTACTTCCCGGTCGATTACGTGTCCGAAGATTATGAAATCGTTTTGCGCTGAAAAATAAAATAAGCACTGATGATTAAAGTCCTCAACCAAACAGGGGTCATGTTGACGGAATGTTACCTAGCACTGCTACATAAATGCGTAAAAAAGAACGGCACTATATAGATCCGAAAACGCTAAAACCTGTTAGTGAGTTCACCTAGCCATAGATCTAGTCGGGTTGCACGATTTGGATGGATGAACAGAGAGGAACAGAGAGGGTTAAGGGATGTCACCGGTTGACGCGTTGGAGGAGGAGGAGGAAATGCCGGCCATCATCGTTGTCGTCGTGCGCTTGACGTAGACAGCGGCGACGGTGGTCATGACGGCGACGGTGGTCGTGGCAACGTCGATCGTAGGCGGTCACGGCAAGGCGTGGCGCGGCGGTGATGGTTTTCCCGTCACTAGCTGCGCCCCCTCGATCGGTTAGGGTTTTTGTGGGTGGAGTTGGCGGCGGCGACGAACCTCGTATCGTGTGCCGCCCTAGCCTCCACCCTCTATTTATGTGGCGCAGGGTGATGGGGGCCCACCAGCCAATGGGCTGGGCGCCCCCAATCATAGTGCGGTCAAGGTCCCCGTTGTGCTGTTGGGCCCAATGGGGAAGAGATCTATCTAACATTCTCCCCATTGATCTCACTATTTCTTTTAGCATTTTTCTATTCCATCACAGATTTGCACATAGAACATGTTTCATCGTCACGGTTAATCGCCGACGGATTTGACAGCCACTATACACATCTCTATTCAGAAACAGATACTTTAACTTTTGGGTCTAGGATTCATAAGGCTTCCCTTAAACCTATGCCGGCTACATGTTCCTTGGACACGTTGGGTGGTAGGCCTTTCGTGAGCGGATCCACGACCATCCTTTTTGTTCTAATGTGCTCGAGATTGATTGTTTGATCTCGGACTTTATCCTTCACAACATAGTACTTCATGTCAATGTGTTTGGCAGCACCACTTGACTGATTGTTGTGAGCGTATATTACTGCGGGTTCATTATCGCAGTATAACTTTAGTGGTTTCTCAATACTGTCAACCACCTTTAAACTGGATACGAACATTTTTAGCCAGTTCACCTGCCCCGTGGCCTCATAGCATGCTATAAACTCGGCATACATAGTAGACCCTGCAGTGATAGTCTGTTTGAAGCTTTTCCATGAAATAGCTCCTCCTGCAAAGGTGAACATGTATCCCAATGTTGACTTTGTATTATCTTTTGCAAAATCGGAATCTAAATACCCCACTATCTAGAGCGATTCTGATCTTCTGTAGGACAACATGAGGCCTTTTGTACCTTGCAAATAACGCAAAACTTTCTTTACCAATTTCCAGTGCTCTGGGCCTGAATTACTCTGAAATCTGCCAAGTAACCCTGTGATAAATGCCAAGTCAGGGCGTGTGCACACTTGCGCATACTGTACGCTTCCCACAGCTGACGCTTATGGCTTTGTTTTCATTTCGTGGAGCTCATACTGATTTCTGGGACATTGTCATGCCCCATACTTTAACCCTTTGACCATAGGACCAAGTGTCGCACTGCATCTGTACATGTTGAATTTCTTCAACACCTTTGCTATATATGCCTTTCAACACCTTTGCTATATATGCCTTTTGAGAAAGTCCCAATGTATACTTTGTTCTATCTCGGTAAATCTCTATGCCCAAAACATATGAAGCCTCAACGAGGTCTTTCATGTCAAAGTTTGAGGACAATAATTTCTTTGTTTCCTGTAATAGACTGACATCACTACTAGCCAGTAGAATGTCATCTACATACAGAATTAGGAAAATGAATCTCCCATTCTTAAACTTTGTATAAATATAGTTGTCCTCAATATTCTCTTGAAACCCAAATTTCTTTATTGTCCCATCAAACTACAAGTACCATTGTCTCGAAGCTTGCTTTAATCCATAAATGGATCTCTTTAACGGCATCCTATATTTTCGTTTCCTTTCACGACAAAACCTTTCGGTTGTGCCATGTATACTTTTTCCTCCAAACATTTAGAAGTGTCGTTTTTACATTTCCAAATCATAATGTGCCACCAGTGCCATTATAATCCTGAAAGAATCTTTACAAGAGACTGGAGAAAATGTCTCATTGTAATCAATCCTTTCTCTTTGCATGAAGCCTTTTGCCACAAGTCGCGCCTTAAACTTTTCTGTATTCCCTCTGGAGTCATATTTGGTTTTGTAGACCCATTTACAGCCTACTATTTTGGTTCCTTTAGGAAGTTCTTCTAAATCCCAGACATCGTTTATTTTCATTGACTTCATTTCATCTTTCATGGCTTCCAACCATTCGGATGAGCGAGCGCTTCTCATGGCCTCTTCATATGAGGTGGGATCATCCTCCATATGCGACTCTTCTATATTATGAACTTCATAGTCATCACGGATAGCTGATCTTCTGACTCTTTCAGACCTTCTAGGGGCCTCCTCATTTAGCACATTCTGTACCTGAGGCTCTTGTTGAGCCTCCTGTTGTTGATGCGAAAAACACACACTAGCCTGGAAGATCTGCTTAACTTTGTTGCAGGTCCAAAATCTTGCTTTTAGGTTCGTGAGCGTGCTAGTTGATTTGATCCTGCAATCAACGAGAAAGAAAAACAAGAAAAACCGCGGTTAAATCCATAAACGATAGCCGATCGGCCGGTCGCTAATGACATATCATTTATTTTTGAGCCGATGTTATATGTAAATCGATCGATAGTTATGAATAAGTAAGATAAGACTAAATCTACTCGATCGGCTGTAGATACTAATGCTATATAATCCTTCTGTCGATGTATATTTAAACCAAGTGATTGAGATAGATCGGTCGCCATGCCGAGACAGTATAAATCACTTAGATAGAAGTATACATTAACATAAAGATTATAAACACTTGTAGCATAGCCGATCAGATAGATCTAGCATGTATCAGCTAGTACTCCGATACCACTCTATGTTAAGATCCTAAAACAAATAGAATATATCAAACAGAAGCCTAATATACTTTATTGCGATAAGATCTTAATATAAAGGGCAGACCTAACAAATCAATTAAGCATATAAAACAAAAAGCTAAGTCAGGTAAGATCGACTGAAACCCCGATACTATCTCCCTCGATGATCATAAAACAAGCTAGATATCATAATTATAAATATTACTTAATAGATCGAACTCAACCGATGCAACATTAAGCATAAAGACAAGTATGAGATCTAAACAAGATGATGAAAATCTACAAAAGATGGTAGATACATGATACAATCTAGATTAATAACAGAATATAACTCTACCAATTGTTCCCAAACAATAAGAACCAGTCGATAACAAGTTATATAACGCAACTAGCCTAGATTGTAACATGTATATGATAACTCGACGGATTACATAAGCAGGGTTAAAGTATCATGAAGATGGAAGCATTAACCCCGATAATGCAAGCCGCCATAACAAGCTTTACCTCTAGTTGAAGATCGAATCGATGCAGCTCAACTCGAAAGCAAGAACTCGTCGAAATAAACGAAAGTAAAAAGGGTGGCGATGCGCCGAGATTGTATTGAACGATTGTTAATTGATTACATGGGTTCGGGTTCTATTTATACCCGAGATACAAGATATGTCCTTGCCGGACACGACATTTATCTCTAACAAACTCTAAGATACCATAATTCTTTGCGGCAGACTTTTGCCCAAACATATCTCTAAGGAAATTACATAAAATATCCTAATTAATAGATACAGTTGCCTATCCGAGAGCCCTATCTCCGTCGTGGAAATCT